TTTTTTTTGCTCTTTGTTCTCCTTCTCTCAGTCCTCTTTATTCTCCCACCATGGATCATAATGATCGATGGTGGTACACTCGGAGGTTCCCTCTGGCTGCACACTATTCTCCCTAATGTACGCCATTATGGCTTCTAGCTGCGCCTGCGCCTGCATTGCCTCTTGATCGCCGTTCTCCTGTTGCTCGCTCATGTCGCTGCTGTCGGCGTCCGACCTTAAGGCGCGTCTCTGCAACTCCTGGATCTCCTGTAACAGTTCGACCTGCTCCCTATTCGCCGTCGGTCGCATTATCCCCGCGAATCCTGGTTCGTTCGATAAGCCGGACGGACCGGGATTCTCATCTGCCATAGGCTGATCCGCGTGCGACGGTGAATTGCTCGCTTGTATTGGTTGGGTTCCTATATTTGATTCTTCCTCAGTCTCGTTCTCTGTCTTGTTTTCATCGTTTTCGACCTCATCTTCCACGTCGCTGCCGTCCCCAGTGATCGTTGTTTCATCTTCCTCCGTACTTTCTTCTACGTAAGAGCAACGATTTCTTTTCCTCGGACTTAGCGGTATTGTCGGCGATACGTCTCTTCGTCTGCGATGCNTAATCTTTTNGGCCATTTCAGCTCTTTCCTCTTCTCCTGATGTTNGCGGTGTCCCTGATGGTTGCGTTGTGCTGCCTCTCATGCTTCTTAATTGACGGCTTATCTTGGTCTTNTCTTCTGGGGATAGCATAACATTTGCTATTATTCTGGGTTGCGCTCGTCCCTCTACAATTTCTTTTGTTTTTGCACTTGTTTTGTTGGGGTTTTCTTGCACTGTCTGGCTTTGGTATTGTGCGTATTTCTCATAATTTAGGCATGCTATAATTTTTTCAAATTCCCCTTTTGCCTCTCTTTCGAGGTTTTCGGCTCGCTCTTTTATTTTTTCCAGCTGCTCCGTCTCCTGACTTCGTGCCATGATCAGCCGTACCCTCCATTTTTTTGCTTGCTGTAGGCGCTTCTGCATCTGTCGCGCTTGTGCTCTCAATTCCTCTCTCTCTTCTCGGAGTGGTCGCAACTCGCCCAGTGCCTCAGTCAACTCGTCCGTCAGCTCGCTCAGCTCTGCCATTTGTTCCCTCAACGTCCAGACATTGAATCCGTGATCTGCTTCTCTTTCGTCTGCCATTGTTCGCCTATACCTGTAAACACAAATTCGCTTAGTTCTTTGTCATTCTCTCCTCCGCGGTCTCAAACGTGGTTCCCTATGTGGTCTTATTTGTCTGGAATTGAATGTTCCCATTATATTGTCGTAATCGTCTTTGACTAAATACCCATTAGGTCTTACTATCTCCCCGACTTTGTACGGTCCTTCGTATAT